TGGATTCCAGGGTCGCTAAGTCCAGTGCCCTCGGTCTCTTTTATCTTGTCTCCTGTTTCTGGGACTGAGTACCCCAGAAGCCGACCCGGGGCCGGGGTTCGGGCTCGGACAAGGGCAGGGTTCGCGGGTGCTGGCATGAAGCCGGCCGCTGCCCCCGGCCCGTCTGGGGACTGGTCGCGGCATGGGGAGGCGACTGGCCCCGGGAGCGTGTCCTCTCCTTGCGCCCCACACAGTGCAGTTCATTCATGAGCCGCCCGGGCCTGCGTTGGAGGGTGCGGTGGGGAGAGGATTCAGACACGGAACCAGGAGTGGGGCAAAGGCCCTGTTGGGGGGAGGGGGCGCGCTTTGTCCCTCCTGGCCTTCTTGACTGTCTGGGGAGGACAATCCCAAAGATTTGGCGTCTTGTTCCTCAGAAGAGAAGGTCGCTTGGAAGTGGAGAGGAGAGGTCAGAGGGGCCCGCTGCCCTTGGGGCTCTGTGCTGCCACCTGCCTGGGTCCTCTGGGGGGAGGTCTGGCCGCTCAGCACTCCACTTCCCTGTGGGGCAGGAGAGTCCCAGCTTCTCTACCCAGTACCACTCTAGCCCTGGGTCGGCCCAGGAAGAATGAGGCTGTGCCCAACGCCTCTTAAGGATGGACCCTCGGTCTTGCCCCCCAGGAGCTTGTGAGGAGAGGAGTGGGAGTGTCTACCAGGCTTCCAGCCCTGGTATGCTGGCAGCATGACTGTCCTCCAGGGCACCAGAGGGTCCAGGCCCTGGCTTGCTCCAGGTGGCACATGCTAGGGCCTGCTGTTGGCTCACCCAACTCAGTCTTGGCCTATGGGTGGGTGGGTGGGGATGTGGCAAGGCAGAAGGCAGGTGGTGGGCAGCTAAAGGTAGCTGGAGTGGCTAATCCCCTTTTGGACATCCTACAAGTTCTCTCCAATTATAACAGCATCTTAGAGACCTCAGTTCAAATTCCAGCTCTGCCATTGTTTAGCTGTGTGACCTTGACAAGTTACTTAACCTGTCTGAACCTTAGTTTTAATTTAAAAGTGTGTTTACTACCACCTCCTTACAGTTATCATGGGGATCAACTAGATAACACAGATAAAGAGCCTGGCACCCTGGCACCCTGCCTGGTTGTTGATCAATAATAGGTTCTTTTCTCTGAACTTCTGACCCATCCTGGCATAGCATCACCCTCCCATACCGCCACCTTTCCGGCCTGCTACAAATGGATTGGGTATATTTGAAGAGTTTGAGGACACTCCCTGCCACTTAGTGGCAGAGTCCCAAATGCCATATAAGCCCTTGGGTCTAAACAAGAAGCCCATCCTGACTGAGGGGCTCTATCATTAAAGTGTGTTTTCCTTTATTTTTATTTTTACCAGTTTCCTCCACTAAACCAACCCTTTTATGCCAGACTTTATTAATAACAGTAGCTAATTTTTTTAGAATCCATCACGTGCCTTGAACTCTATTAAGAGCTTTTACATAAGTCATCTTGTTTAGTTCTCAAAACAACCACACAACTGGATGATTATTCCCATTTTCAGATGAAGAAACTGAGGCCCAGGGGGGTGAAGTAAATTTGCCCAGGTCAGTAGCCAGATCTGTCTCATCCTAGAGCCTGAGCTTTTAACCCCCAGGCTCTGTCACCTGGCCTCTACACTTCTCCCAGAATCTGAAATCACAAGCCCAGGGTCTGAGTGGAGGGCCTGGCAGCTACAGGCAAAAAGGAGGGCAAACACCAATAGGATGTGGCATTTCTCCAGAATTGTAGCAGGCAGCCCCCAGCCCCAACTCCCAGACCCTCGGTGGAAGCGGCTCCTCTGTGGGCCAGGGCAGCAAAATGCAATGGTCAAGAGCATATACTTAAGCCATATAAGTGGGCCCGTATCTGGATTTATGACAGTCTGGCTGTGTGACATTGGGCAAGTTATGTACCCTTTCTGCACCTCAGTGTCTTCTCAGGGTCTGGATGGCGAGTAAATAAGTTACCATGCGTAAAGCGCTTAGAACGGTGCCTGGCACAAAATCAGAGTAAAATTAGTATTTGATAATGCATTCTTTTCCGAGAGCTTTTATCCTCACGCGTGGATACTTTTTTGCCGGTCCCTGTGAAGTTGGGAGGGGTGGAGCAAGGATATTAATACCTCTTTGCTACAGTTTAGAAGACTGAGGCCTGGGTTACATAATAGCAGGGCAGGGCTCCATCATCATCTCCTCTCTTCAGACCACACCGCCTTCCTAGGAGCCCAGGCCCTAAACGAAGAAATCTTCCCAAGTGACTCTGGAAGAAAAAAACTTTTTACCTGATAACTCCCCCACCCCTGCCACTTCTTAATGGTAAAATAACAACCTTTAGATAGCTGGAAATAAAATCCTCCGCCACCCTCTACCCATTGGCGGCCAAAGCCTCAGTGTCAGACGAGAGAATTTCCAGGATACAGCTGGCTGAGTGGATGAACTGCCCCCTCCAACACCTCCCCGCAAATATTCTGCCTCAGTCTCTTCCCTCCAACCAGCTGCTCTCACTAAAAGCTTTGAGTAGCTGCCCTAGGTGAAGTTCAGCCCAGCAACCTCACCCCCACAATTTGGAGCTTAGAGGAACCCAGTCAGCCTAAAAGCCACCAGCCCTGGCTCCACCCTTCACCCACCCTGTGACCTCTTGTGAGTTGCTTCTGCTCCCTGGGTCCCTGCTTCCTCCCCTGTAAAGTGGGGATGGTGATCTGATCCAGCAAGTGTGCCCTACCTTCCTTGGGTTTGTGGGGGGGGGTATGTAAGAGCAATGCATTTGTGGAGGGGAGAGTGCTTTGTGACTCTAAAGAGGGAGGCAGCAGATGGACATGGTAATTTCAGTTACTAAGCATCTACCTGGACCTTCACCCACCCTGTGGGGTCCCCTTAATGTAAAAGCTCCCGGAATGTTCCACCTTCCTTCAGCGTGGAGAGGACTGGTGGGGGGGGGGCCTCCAGGGGTTTGTACCTGTTACATTCGTTTTTGTTTTTTGTTTTTTTTAAGATTTTATTTATTTGAGAGAGAGCGTGCGCGTGAGAGAGAGCACGAGGTGGGTGGGGGGCAGAGGGAGAAGCAGGCTCCCCACTGAGCAGAGAGCCCGACATGGGGACATAGGACTCGATCTCAGGACCCTGAGATCATGACCTGAGCCAAAGGCAGATGCCCAACCGACTGAACCACCCAGGCTCCCTGTACCCGTTATATTCTGGCCTGGTGAAGCCTTGGAGTTAGGGAGAGAGACAGCTGTCTTGATTGGTGGAGTTCACTGGAGTAGGGAGTTAAGGGGGGAGGTGCTACTGCAGAGGGCCCCCAACTACCACACACCCAAGCTACCTCTACCTACCTTTAACCTCCCCTTTAACCCTGGTGCCCCAGGGTTCTATGCACCTATGTTTACATACCCAGGCTCCCAGGCACACCCACACCCACACCCCAACTTAAGAGACCAGTCACCTACTTCCCCCTACACACACACACACTGGCACATCAACACATGTTTACACACCTGAACATACATATTCCCACAGTGTTCTGGTGTTTTCTAGCCGGAGAACATTTAATGAGCATGTACAAAACTTCCATGTTCTGCAGAGTCCTGTTCTAGGCACATCAGAAGAGCATGATGCCCTGAACAGTGTTCTAGCTTTAGAAAGAGGTTGACCTAGGTTTGAACCCCATCATTTTATTAGCAGTGTGACTTGGGAAAAGTTACTTAACCTCTCTGAGCCCCTGTGCCCTTATCTTAAAATGGCAATAATATCCAACTCAGGATTGTCAAGGATTAAATGAAATCACGTATGTATTATTCTTGAAACAGTGAGCACTTGATAAGTGGTGCCTGTTGCAATCACTGAATTAATGGGGTTTTCAGGGTTTTTTGGTTTGGGGTTTTTTTTTTAAGGCAACTTGAGCTGGAACGGAAGAGGGAGGCATAACACAACCAGGCAGGTACTACCTTAGCCTTCCTAACACAGGCTTTTCAGAGACTCCCTGGGACCAAGTGAAACATACAAACAACCACAGCTTCCCCCTCCAAGAGCTGGTACCTCTTGTCCTGTAATTTAAGTGTTAGGAAGAGACTAGGGAAAACCAGGGATCAGTGGGCAGAAGAAACCCTTGAGTCCACCCAGGAGGCTGGAGGATGCTTGCTCCCAGAGTTATTATCACCGGTTCTAGGTTTGTTGTTCTCTCTCTTTGTCTGGTTTCCTCTCTTCCCTGGGGATCCCCCCCCACCAAGGCAGAGTTTCAGTGTTGTCAGCAGAAGGGGCCCCCAGGGGCCCCCCAGTGGGATGCGGGTGGGGCAGCAGTGCCTCGGTCACACTTCTCCTCCACCCTAGCTCCCCAGGGCCCTGCTAGGCTTCGTCCCCTGGCACTCCCAGAACCCAGGTATCCGGGCTGGCTGCCCCTTCCCTCCTCCTCCCCCGTCCCATCCTCCAGGTCCACAGAAGGCTGGACAGCCCCACAGTGGTGGGGATCAGGGCTGAAGGGTAGTACCCTGGCTGCAGGGGGCTTGGGCAGGCTGAGAGGCCCCCACCCACTCTCTCTCTCTTCCTTTGCCAATAGAAAAGCTGGAGGGCCTGGCATTCCCAGCCTGCCCTACTCCGGAGGCAGGAGCAGGGCACTCTGGGAGTTGTAGTCCTCACACCACTCAGGTGACCCCTGTGCTGAGATAATTGGAGAGGTGAGGAAGCTGGAGGGGAGGAGGGTGTAGCTGCTTCCGAGGCAGGAGAAAAGGAATGAGAGCAAGCAGGAGTGACTGGGACCGGGCCGATAACACAAACCCGGAAGTCCTACTTTTTAACTGACTTCCCACTCTGACTCCATCCTCAGGTCCCTACTCTGAGCACAGAGGACCAGCTCTGAAGCTGAACATCTTTTTCTTTCTTTCTTTCTTTTTTTTTTTAAGCCAATTGTATTGAGAAAGTGATTAACAGAGTTGAAAACTCTAAGCCAATGAAACCATGCCATTTTTCTAAGAGGTAGGAAGAGGAGATCAGGATGACCTAGCTGGTTCCTGACCCATCCTCTCCTGGCCTCCAGACCCCACCTCTTCACCTTGAATCCTCGGGCCTCCGACCTCCCCATCTTCCCTCATACTCAGTTTCCAGAGACAGAGAAAGACAGAGAGAAAGCAAGCATGTGAGAGTGTGTGTGTGTGTGTGTGTGTAGAGTGTTTGTGTGTGTATATGGAGGTGGTGGGAGGCAGACGTTAGAGACTCACAACTTCCAGCTTAGAAAAACCAGTCTCCCCAGTCCAGATGTGGGCCAAGTTCCCCAGACCCAGGGTGGGGTCGCAGCCTTACAGCCAATGAAGGTAAATCCATGTGACTCAACCCTCCCCTCCCCAGGCCCTTATCTCAGAAAGCCAGTACTTCCACCCACCCAGGCTGCCGGATGATCTGCCCTCACTCCCTCTCCCTGTGCTCAGGCTGGGAGCCATGCGGGGCATCAGGAACAAGCCCCGCTGACCACTGTGCTCTCTGCCCAGGAGGACCATGCGGCAGTAGCAGCCATGCTGCCCTTCCTTCTGGCCACTCTGGGCACCACGGCCCTCAACAACAGCAACCCCAAGGACTACTGCTACAGCGCCCGAATCCGCAGCACCGTCCTGCAGGGCCTGCCCTTTGGGGGCGTCCCCACCGTGCTGGCTCTTGACTTTATGTGCTTCCTTGTGAGTGCCCACACACCACCTCCCCCCCACTTGGCATCCACACCCTGTAGATAGCTAGCTAACGCCCGCAGCCCTAACCTCTCCTCCACCTGACTCTGACTCCCCAGGCTTACCTGTGGGAGGGGTCTGCATCACCCAGCCCGAGCCTAGCCTCCCACAGTTCACCTGAGCCAAGGTCATCCCAGCCCCTCCGCCCCTGCCCTCCTGGCTAGTCCAGTGCATGGACAGTCTGTCCACCTGCCAACCATTCCTTCTGCCCTCAGGCACTGCTGTTCTTGTTCTCCATCCTCCGGAAGGTGGCTTGGGACTATGGGCGGCTGGCCTTGGTGACAGATGCAGACAGGTAAGGCTTTGGGATTCTCCCTTACCTGTACACACACACACACACACACACACACACACACACACACACTCCTCCGGGGTAAGAAAGAGCCAGCCCTCTTTCATCCACCTTTGTTGGGGGGATGAAGAGGGACCAGTCCCAGAGCGGATGTGGGGGACATGAGGGCATGGGCTTCCAGCCTTTGCCATTCCCCGGGGAACCCCCCCGCCGCCCCTCCCCCATTAACCCTGTCTGTTCTCTGTTCCCCAGGCGACGCCGGTGGCAGGAGAGGGAGCGAGTGGAACAGGAATAGTATGTGGGGCACCTGCCCCCTCATCCCCACCAAACCAGCGCTCTCTTTTCTTCTCTCATGCTTCTCTTCTCTTCCTGCCAAGTTACTGGTTTCTCTTTGCAGTTTTCTCCTCTGCAGGCTCATGTTTCGGATTAACGCAGGCGGTGTGCTTTGCAGAGCAGGGGGCTCCCCAACTTGTCTCTGCCTCACCACTCCATCCTCCACTCTGGCTTTCAGCCTGGGAGAAGCCCCTCCCTGTGTGCCCTGCCCTCTTGGTGGCTGGGCTGGAGGGGCCGTCCTCCCGGAAACTTACAGTACGCTCACCTGTTGGTCACAGAGACAAGACTGGGTGTCACCAGTGGCTTGCCATCCCCTAACAACTAGTTCTTCATATTTCAGGGTTCCCTGCTCAGCCCTTCTGGAGGCCTGGGAGGGGGACTTCCCACGGAGCCCCGAGTCTGGCCTTTGAGGTCGCATCATTGGTCTCTGTCTATAGGACTGACGTTGGAGTTGCGGCAGCTGCTGGGGTCAGGGAAAGGGGAAGGGAGGGGCCCACCTGGGGGACATCCCTCAGCCCCCTCTATCCCTAACCCTCCTGGGGCTCTCCTAGTCCATCCTTTCCTTCAGCTCCCCATTGCCCTGTGCATAACATTGGCTCTCTTGCCCCCCATCCGGTCCCCTGCTGGTCAGCTCCAGAACTGCAGGGCCTGCTCCCGTTCTTACTTCAGCCTCCGCGGGCAACGATGAAGACACCCTCCTTTCCCTCACTGCCCTGCACTGGTGCCCCCCAGGCCTCCTGAAGGAAAGAGGCGGATTTAAGGGAGGCAGGGGGAAGGCAGTCATCCCTCCCCGCTTCAGCCTCTGTGCTTTCTGTGCCTTGTCTAGCCCCGGGAGCTCTGGAGTGGGAGCCCCCCAATTCAGCCCTGCTCCCCAGGAGCTCAGACTCACCAGGCTCTCTGCTCTCTCACCCCCCCACTCCCAGTGTGGCCTCAGCTATGCACGGGGACAGTCATGACCGGTATGAGCGTCTCACGTCTGTCTCCAGCTCCGTGGACTTTGACCAAAGAGACAATGTGAGTGCCCTCCCCCAGACCTGTTAGCTACCTGCTCCTCCTCCGGCACAGGGGGCTCAGCAGCCTTAGCTCCAGTGGTACAGGGTCAGGGACCTATGGGGTGTGACCTTCTCCGCAGCAAGGGCAACGCCTGTCTAAGAGCCACAGGAAAGCCACCCCGACCTGGAACTCTTGGCTCTGTACTCCGTGCTAATCCCCAAGCTAGCACCAGCCTAACATCACGAATCCCAGACTTTGCGCCACATAGAACTCTGTGCCTGTCTCCACCGATTAATCCCAAGGACCCCCTTTTCCTTAGGCAGGGTTTTAGAAGTAACAACAGGCCTTTCTGGCCCATCCAGCAAAACATAGAATTCGTTGTGTTGCTCAGAGACTGCAGGCTGGTGGCCCTTGGCTGGGTGGGGCCGGTTGCAGATTGGAGCTGAGTGGCAGAGGCCCCTGTAGACAAGGCATGTACGTGGTGATTCACAGCAGTCCCCAGACCCTCATTCACGTCAGGCCCAGCAGTCTGGCGTTACCTGCCTGGCCCCTGTCGTTCTGCCAGCGTGAGGGTCCTGGACAGAACTCTAATCTTTAGGCCCTGGGATGTCCCTGGTCAGTCCAGCTTGGGCTGGGGGCCCTGGGGACAGCAGCTCTTGTAGCAGCCATAGTAGAAGAAGCCAGTCAGCCTCCTGAGTTGGACTCACACTGGTAAGTGGCAAAGCAAAGGTATCGCCCCTGCCCACCCAGAGGTGTCCAGATGGTCCCTAGACTCAGGTGGTGTTGGCAACAGGTAGCAGTCCTGCATCTTAGCTGGAAGGCGCCTCTCTCCCCGATCCTGGGTTAAGCCCGGCCCTTCTGCTAGAAGGAAGGTGGGGGAGGGTTATTTCTGCCTAGCCCTCCCCCGTATGTCCCCAGCCCGCTGTCAGTGGGGTGAGTCTCTGTCTGAAGGCAGGCCTGGGAGCTTGAGGGTAGGAGATTGCAGCTCACAGGGACCCAGGGTCTGGTCCCTCTGGGGTGTGCTGGAAGAAAGGCGGCAGGAACTCGGGCAGTTTGGCCTGCCCCTCTGCTGTTGATAGCCATGCTGCAGACTCTTATTAGCTACAGGGCTGGAGGTTCCCAGTGCCCTTGCTAGAACCCTGAATCCCACCCATCCCTACCCTGACCCACACAGCTTCAGGCCTTCCCCTGGTTGCACTGCCCCGTTGGCTGTTTGCAGGGATCTACAGCTCTGGGCATGAGCGTCCGCAGATAGCCCAGTTTGGCCTTGGTCCTTTTCTCCTTTGAGGGCTGGCACCTTCCCTCTCCCCCTCTGGGGTGTGCTACTTTCTTTGGGGGGTTGTGGCAGTTGTGCCAAGGTGGGCCACAGCCCGGAGGTGATCATGAGAATGGGGCGGGTAGGATTCGAGGGGGAAGGGAGGTTCGGGTTGGGGTAGGAACTCCAACTGATAGCCCTCTGTCCCCCCAGGGTTTCTGTTCCTGGCTGACAGCCATCTTCAGGATAAAGTAAGTGAACAGTCTTCAGACTCTAAGGAAAGAGAGAAACAGAGAAGCTTCAGAACCTGTCACTTCCCTACAAAATCCAGAGGCCAACAGCTTTGAGGGCCTTAGCGCTCCCAGCCAGCCCAGCAGCCTCTTCCCTACTCCAGGAGGCCAGGCCCTGGGGTCCCGGCCTCTGTTGTCCCCTGAGCTGGGCCTCACCCTACCCCACAGTCTCCCGTGTGCCCGCCTCCCTGGTGGGCCCGCTCTGCCCACAGCTCTCCGAGCCCTTGTGGCAGGGGCTGGAGCCCCCCACCTCAGAGTCTTGTGCAGCCCGGCGGGGCGGGGGGGGGGGGCGGGCTGGGAGCAGCGAGCCAGCAACAGGCAGGAGCCAGTGTCCTGCAGGCAGAAGTCAGGAGATGGAGCCAGAGTGCGGCAGGCAGGCAGTGAGCGCTGAGAGAGGCAGGAGGCCCGGACAGGTCAGCACCGCCACTGCCCACACCCCGGCCCGCCCCCCCCGGGGCCCCTCCCCCGGCGCACCACGTCTGTGCTCCTCCCCCGCCATAAGGCGCCACTGCGTCCCCAGCCCGGGTCCTCCCTCCCGCTTCTTCGGTCAGCCTGCCTCTCTCCCTCCTCACCCTCCCTTTCCATGTCCCTTCTGCTCCACCTTTCTCCCCCTTTCCTCCTCTCTCTGCAGCCTTCCCCTTTGCCCCCTGCCCCCTCCTCTCTCTGTTCTCTTCTCCTTTCCCTCCCCTTCCCTCTCCCGTGCTCTCCTCTCCCCTCCCAGAAAATAGAGGGCCCCGAGACCCCCCCACCCCTGTAGTGCTGCCAGACCGGCCGGGGCTAGGGTGGACATGGGGTGGGGGCGGGCGGGCCAGGCAGGCAAGCCGTGCCCCCCCCCCCGCCCCGCCCCAGTCCTCACTTGTGTGCCCGGCCGCCCCACGCCTGCAGGGATGATGAGATCCGGGACAAATGTGGGGGCGACGCTGTGCACTACCTGTCCTTCCAGCGGCACATCATCGGGCTGCTGGTCGTCGTGGGAGTCCTGTCTGTGGGCATCGTGCTGCCTGTCAACTTCTCAGGGGACCTGCTGGGTCAGTGCCGGCCAGGATGGGGGTGGGGCCGGAGGGGAGGAGCGGGGGCGGGGGACGCAGGTCCTGACCCCAGCACCGTCCTCTCCCTCTCCCTGCCCCCCCCCCCCCAGAGAACAATGCCTACAGCTTCGGGAGAACCACCATTGCCAACCTGAAATCAGGGTAAGGTGGGGAAGCCGGTTCAGGGAGGTCAGGGTCTGCGCTGGAGTCTAGCTGTTTTAACAGGGAGGGGTGCAAGGGGGAGCACTGGGGGAGGGGTTGCTGAGGTTGCACCAGAGGCTGGGGGACCTGAGGACTTGGGCTGGAGACAGAGGAGGTGGATGTCTGCTGGGGATCGCCGGGGATGACCAGATCCAGAAGTAGCTGTGTGACCGCAGGCCAGGGGAAAAATGGCAGCAGGCAATTGGGGGGAGGGGGGCAATGTAGCCAGTGGGCAGGGCAGGAAGAGATGACCTCTTTTTTTTTTTTTTGAAGATTTTATTTATTTGACAGAGGGGGAGAGAGAGAGAGAGAGAGTACAAGCAGGGGGAGCAGCAGGCAGAGGGAGAGGGAAAAGCAGGCTCCCTGCTCAGCAAGGAGACCGATGCGGGGCTTGATCCCAGGACCCTGGAACCATGACCTGAGCCGAAAGCAGACACTTAACAGTCTGAGCCACCCAGGCGTCCCAAGAGATGACCTCTTGGGGACATTTCAGCTGCAGTGGAATAATCTTGGGGCCTGGACAACATGGAGTGTGGGGCCTGTCCTGCGAAGGGGTCAGTGCCAGAAGACCCGTGGCAGGAGAGGGGCCCTGTACCAGGGGCTGAATTCACAGTGGGAGGTTGGGGGTTGTCTGAGTGCGTTCCTGTCCCCAGTGGCTCCATGTGCCCCTGTGCCCCACCCAGGAACAACCTGCTATGGTTGCACACCTCCTTCGCCTTCCTGTACCTGCTGCTCACCGTCTACAGCATGCGTAGACACACCTCCAAGATGCGCTACAAGGAGGACGACCTGGTGAGCAGAGCAGAGCCCTGGCCTACCCTGCCCCCAGCCTCTTACCTTCCCCCCGGGCCTCCCTTGCCTGGGCCCCAAGGAGTGTCCACACCAGGGTGGGGCCACCTGGGTTCTGATCCTGGCCCAGCAGCTCAAGAGCCCCTATCCTGCACGTTAAGTCACCTCCCCAAGCCTCAGCGTCCTCATCTATAAAACGGGATAACAGAACCTTCCTGAGGTCGGTGGGAAGGTGAAGTGACGCGACCCGTGGAAAGCACCCGTGCTGTGCCTGGCCCTCAGGAAACAGCCGTGGTGATGCTGTGGTAGTGACATGCGCTTGTCTGCATTCATCACCAGGCCAGCCACCGTGCCAGGCCGTTACGGCCTGAGGGTCAGGGAGTCATCCCCCTTCCCCTCGATGACCCCCTCGGGAGCAAGGGGCCAGGTGGCTCTTTCATTAAGCTCGCTGCCGGATTCCAATTAGATACCCTCCCCCTGGCACGTGGCTTATCCCTAAGGCCTCCTCCCACCTGTTCAGCTCCCTGTTCCCCACACCCACCTGGCATATTCTCGAGCCTTCTCCTCCAGAAGGCAGACCCACCCCCCTCTCACCCCAGGTGAAGCGGACTCTCTTCATCAATGGAATCTCCAAATATGCAGAGTCAGAAAAGATCAAGAAGCATTTTGAGTGAGTGGCCACGCCCACCCCAAACCCCAGGCCCTGTGGGCCCTTCTTTGCCTTTCAGCCCTCAGACTTCTCACACCTCCCACTGAGGTCTGGGGCTGGTGTAGGGGTGGAGGTGAGACCACGGAGGTGAGACCATGGAAGAATGACGTGAGTCCAGGGCATTCCAGCACTTGGGCTGGGTGAGAGGCCCCCGCAAGAACAGGGGAAAGACAAGAAATACTTGAAAAGTGAGAGAAGTATGGTCCTATCCCCCCCCCCACCCCACCTCTCCTCCCAGCTTGAACTGGGTCATGCGTTGTTGACCCGGGGTCCGTGGGCCCTTTGAGGTGTGTGGCTTCAAACTTTTGTGTGACATTCTGGGGTTTGTGTGCAGACTGGCTTTCAGCGGATCCTGAGGGAGCCCAGGCGCCCATGTTCGCCAAGGCTCTTTCTAGCTCTGGAGTTCTGTCTCGTGGAGAGGGGGATATACACCTCCAGGAGGGCCCGGTGGCCGGGACGGTATGTGCAGGATTAGGGATCCTGTCACACGTTCATCTGTGCACTCAGCAGACTTTCTCAGATGATATTAGGCCGAAGTCACTGCGGTGGGCCTTGGGACCGCAGAAATGAACAAAAGATCATTGAGCTCTCAGGGGTTCGCACAGTGGAAGTGAGCCTTAGGAGCCGGTGCAGGGTCTGATCAGAGGTTTGGTCTGAGGTCGGTCTGTGGCCAGAATTAGGAGTTAGCCAGTGGCCCTGATAAGGGACCTTGGTGGTCAGGATCAGGACTTCGCGAGGTCTCGATCCACCGTCAGTTGGCCTGGATCAGAAGTCAGTCGTCCTGGGTCAGAACAGGATTGCGAGGCAGTGTCTAGTCGGGGTCAGATTGCAGACCACTGTGTTGCAGGCCAATGAGCGGTTTGCGATCCCCGATAGCGGATGTGTACTCATTCGTTCACCATGCATGTCTTGTCACCTTCTACACTCCAAGCGTACGCAAATTAGAAACAGGCCCTGCCCTCCCAGAAGTTACAGAACAGCGGTCAAAATTAGATCATCCTCAGTCAGTACGAGAACGACTTAGGGATCCTATCTGGAGTCCAAGCTGTGATCAGCATTAGGGGGCAGTCTGGGTCAGGATTAAGGAACGTGTGTGCTCAGAATTAGGTGACATCTTAATATTACCGTCCCATTGGAATCAGCTGTCAGCTTGGACTGGTAAGTCTTTAATAACAAATACTTGTTGAGTACCTGCCATGTGCCTGTGCTGGAGTAGGAGCTGGGGTTTCAGCAGTAAACAAACAAAAAAAAGTAAGAAGCCTCTGCCCTCACCTGCTCGCATTCTGGTGGGCGAGGCAGATAATAAATAAATGAACTAGTAATAGACACCTTGTCAAAGCAGGGTGGGTGCCCAGAAGAAAACCAGAGCAAGGAGAGGAACAGCGTGAAGGAGTCAGGAAGGGGTGCTGTTTCCAGTAGGGTGAGCCGGGGGACTCTGACAGGGCCCTGCCTGCAGTGAGGAAGTGAACCGCATGAACCAGGCATCCACTCAGCACACATTTGTTGTACACCTACTGTGTGCTTCATAACAGACCTGATGTGTCCGTGAGGAGCTCGTGGTTCAGGTTGTCTGTTTCAGGGGTCAGCCTGTGGTTTTGTTTAGGAAGCAGACTGTGATTCAAATTAGTGGTCAGCCTTTAAGCAGGAGTGGGGGAGACTGTGGTCCTAATTGGGGTTTGGGGGATCAAGGGGGTGAGCGTGAGGGAACGACCATCTCATTGATCCATTCGTTCAGCACGTGTATATTGAGCACCTACTATGTCTAAGCTGTTGGCCCAGGCCTGATGTATGGTGAGGAGTAGGGTTTGTGATCCAGGTCCGTGGTCTGTCTGGATTAGGGGACTACCCCAGCAGAATTAGGGAATTTCCTGTGTGTAAAATCAGAGAGCCTGTGTGGTGGGGATTGGGGGGTTAGAGATGAGTCGGGTGAGCCTGAGGACTTAGCCCGCCACAGGGCTGAAGGCCCTTCCAAGGAAGAGCCCTAAAATAGTTGGAGCAACACGGTGTCTGGGGAAAGGTCCGCAGAGCATCTCAAGGACCCCATCCCAGATTTAAGTTTCCAAATTCTCGTGGATTGCACCATCCATCTTGTTTCTTTAGAACCAGGTCTTGCGCACCTTTAACACTTGGTGGTTCTTCATTAAAAAGCTTTTTGTTTTGTTTTGTTTTTTAAAGATTTTATTTATTTATTTGACAGAGAGAGAGACACAGCGAGAGAGGGAACATAAGCAGGGGGAGCAGGAGAGGGAGAAGCAGGCTTCCCGCGGAGCAGGGAGCCCTGAGCCGAAGGCAGACGCTTAACGACTGAACTACCCAGGCGCCCCTAAAAAGTTTTTTTAAAAGACAGGCTTCAGTCTAGATTAGGGAGCAGGGAGCAGTGTGTGATGAGAAGTAAGAAGGAACTGCTGCTTCCTCCATGAGCAAGCGCCCCTTGAGTGCCCCAGGTACCAGGACTGAGAGTCACAGTCTCTCTCTGCTCAGTTTCAAAGCAAGGTTAGGGTCAATCCTGGGTCAGGGTTAGAAAGTCAGTCTTGGATCTGGGTTATGGGTGAGTTTGGATCCCAGTAAAGGGTCAGTTTCAGGTCAGCGTTCAGGATCCATCTCTGGTCAGTCTTGGGGCGAGGATCGTTCTGTAGACTGGGCTGTGGGTTGGCTGGGGTCAGTTCATGGTCAAGGCTAAGTGTTGAACTGTAACCAGGTATTCTGGAAACAGGGTTAAGAGAACAGCCCATGAGTAGAAACAGTTTCTCTCAGCTACAAGTTCGAGCTCTGGAGATGAATCAGGCCACAGCCGTGGCCCCCCTGGTGCCAGCCACACAGGTGTACTCTCACATCCTGGCTCATTGCCATGTGCACAAGGCCCCTGAGCCTTCATGCTTCCTGCTGCTCACATGAACACGGGGAGGAATTTCAAAGATTTACTCTTATGGAACTCCCATTTTTGTAGACCAGACAGAAGGAGCTTGAATTCGGGGTGTGTTGTCTTAAAGGTGATGGGGTCATGGCTACAGGGTGGGGGCAGGTGGGCAGGGTCCCCGCAGAAGATGATGGTGGACTGTGTTTCAGGGAGGCCTATCCCAACTGCACGGTTCTTGAAGCTCGCCCATGTTACAACGTGGCTCGCCTTATGTTCCTCGATGCTGAGAGGTAATGGGGGGGATGACACGGGAGGGGCCTCTGCCTACTGTGGAAGGCATCTTGGCTGCCTCATGGGAACCTGGCTCCCCTTCCAGGTGTTTCCCAGGGCATTTGATTTTAATTCAACCCCTGGAGTGCCTGTCAGTTCAGCTCTGGAAAGAGCAAGGCTTAGAGGTTAGCGTTCATTGCGAGAGGAAAGGGGTCCACCATCCCCACCCCATCTGAGGACATACCCTTCTTCAGCTGCAGTTTAAGAAACTTAGGCCAAACCATAAGAAGAATTTCTGGCCCTCAGGAGGTGGGTGGGAAGACCCTTGAATATCTGAACCATGCTTTCTAAGCAGATCCAAGAATAAGCTCACCCTGTCCTTAGGGAGTGGACTCAGATGACCCCTGAGCTGAGCTCCCTACCCACCCTCCCAGCCATTCCTGGCCCCAGCCGGGCCAGCGGGTGACCGGGCACCTGGGTCTCACAGGAAGAAGGCTGAGCGGGGGAAGCTCTACTTCACAAACCTCCAGAGCAAGGAGAATGTCCCCACCATGATCAACCCCAAGCCCTGTGGTCACCTCTGCTGCTGCGTGGTGCGAGGCTGTGAACAGGTACGAGGTGACGCCAGGCCCCCAGAGCTCCTGCTGGGTATGGGGAAGAGATGGACAGATCCCGGCAAGCCTCGTCGCAGTAGAGATGGACACATTCCAGGCCCGGGTCCCGTAACCCTGGGAACACACACACAAATGGGTCTTGCACATAACTAACCAAAGGTCAACAGACTCCCAGAGCAGGCAAGGCCATGCCAGGATTGGGGGGGCGGCCAGGACTGGGAGCAGGGTGCAGCCCCGCCCTCAGGTCCCCACCTGGTCCTGCAGTCCTCAAAGCCCCCCTTCCCCTATTGGGTTCGTCCCCATCCCTGCAGTGACCAAGTTTGCAAAGCCCAAATCAGTAAGGGGTCAGCCAAGAGAACAGCACTGTGCTGTATTTACTGGCTCTGAGGCTTTCGGCGAGTTTCTCGCCTGCTCTGTGCCTCAGTTTCCTCCTCTATAAGATGGGGCTAATGGTACCTACCTCGGGACTGTCATGAGGATTACACGAGTTAACACGTAGAAAGCCTACAGCAGCGCCCAGCCTGGAGTAAGCCGCAGGTCCGTGCCGCTGGGTGTGCTGGGGAGCGGCCTGGCTCTCTGAGCGCAGCACCGCCCTCACTCACTCGCCCTCTGCAGGTGGAGGCCATCGAGTACTACACGAAGCTGGAGCAGAAGCTGAAGGAGGACTACAAGCGGGAGAAGGAGAAGGTGAACGAGAAGCCTCTCGGCATGGCCTTTGTCACCTTCCACAACGAGACCATCACCGCCATGTGAGCCCCTGCCCCCTGCCTGCCCATCCCCGTCCTTGTCCACCAGGAACCGCGGGGGCTCCCGGGTCCCCGTGCTCAGGGCTGGCCGGTGGCAGTAACCAGTGCCCCTCCCCCAGCATCCTGAAGGACTTCAACGTGTGTAAGTGCCAGGGCTGCACCTGCCGTGGGGAGCCGCGCGCCTCGTCCTGCAGCGAGTCCCTGCACATCTCCAACTGGACTGTGTCTTACGCCCCCGACCCCCAGAACATCTACTGGTGAGCGCAGCACGGCGGGCCGGGGCAGGCTTCGCGGGGCCCGGTGGCCCCGGCAGGCGGACGGGAGGAGAGGGCGGTCCGGGGTGGCCCCAGAACGACCCTCTCCCCCGCCTTCCCAGGGAGCACCTGTCCATCCGGGGCTTCCTCTGGTGGCTGCGCTGCCTGGTCATCAATGTCGTCCTCTTCATCCTCCTGTTCTTCCTCACCACCCCGGCCATCATCATCACCACCATGGACAAGTTCAACGTCACCAAGCCTGTGGAGTACCTCAATGTGAGGCCCGGGCCCCACCCCGCTCCCTCCGTGCCGCGGTGCGAGACACAGATACCAGGCCTCGAGTCCCTCTCCGGGGGGCGGGGGGAGCCAGAACGCCCTCTGGCCTGGCTAGCTCCAGTTCTGCTTTCCCAGGCCAGCCCCGCCGACAACCCCCCCACGACGAAGGGCTGCAGAGCCCTCTGGGAATGTCCCTTGGGCTCCCCACCACCTTCCCCCTCGTGACACCACCCTGGGGTCGCATACACCTAGAGAGACACCAGGGAAGAGAGCAAGCGCACAGCCAGTTTTAACTGACCGTGCGACCTCAGACAAGCCCCCATCTCACCCCCCCATCTCACCGACAGAGGAACGGAGGTTCGGACCAGAGCACTGGCTTCCGAACTTAGATGCGGACGCCCTTATCGAAAGGACTCTTAACATGAGCCCCCGTGTGGAAAAGCAAGGCTGCTCAGAGGGCCATAGAGGGAGGGGTCATTTTCACCAGCTCCTCCTTCACCCAGCTCCTTGGAGCCTCAAAGTCCAGAGTTAGACAGTTTGAAAATTCCTGAGTGATAAGAGCAAAATACACCAGACCCAGTCGGCCTGGGTTCACATCCCCACCTCACCGCCCCGACTAGCTGGGTAACCTGCTGACACTCTTTTTGCCTTAGTTTGCTCATCTGTAAAATGGACTAATAGCATTGTTGGGAGGATCCATACACGTAAAGCCCATGACCAGTGCCTGGCACTTAGGAGGTACTCCGCAAATGCTAACTATCAGAGTAACTCACCCTGCAGTGGTACTCATGAGACCGGCCCCCACCCTCACCCTGGCCCTGCACATGTTCTGGACTTCTGCCACGGGGCCCCGAGAGCCATGGGGCCTGGGGCTCAGTGGGGGGGGGGGGCAGGTAAGCAAAGCAAGCTAGACGGCGGCCCGCTAGATGGCCCCCGCCTGAAATGTCCCCCTGTGCCCCGCTGCAGAACCCCATCATCACTCAGTTCTTCCCCACCCTGCTGCTGTGGTGCTTCTCGGCCCTGCTCCCCACCATCGTCTACTACTCGGCCTTCTTCGAAGCCCACTGGACACGGTGAGACGCCTCACACGCCCCGCACCCTGGCCCTCCTAGGTGTATGGCCGTCCCAGGTGGGCAGCCCTTTCCCCTTCAGCCTCCCTGCCCCGGGCAGTCCCAGAGCTGCCAGGGAAGGGAGGCTGGCCCGCATCCTCACACTGGGAGGCCCCCGTCCCAGCAGATACCATCCCGGCTGGGGGAGCAGGCCTGGGGGCTGGTTCACCTGACCCCTGCCCCTGTGCCCCCCACTGCAGCTCCGGGGAGAACAGGACCACCATGCACAAGTGCTACACCTTCCTCATCTTCATGGTGCTGCTCCTGCCCTCACTGGGACTGAGCAGGTGGGTTACAGAAGACGGGACAGGAGCCGGGGTGGGGGGGTAGGGGGTTAGGATGGACGAGGGGAGCCGTTCAGGCTCCCACTTCCCTTACAGAGGTGCTGGGGGGGCGTCCCCAGCGGCTCATGGACTAGACTCCTCCTCCCCTGGTGTTCTGGGCCATTCCAGCCCCCCACCACACCTCTCCACTCCTCCTCTCCAGCCTGGACCTCTTCTTCCGCTGGCTCTTTGACAAGAAATTCTTGGCTGAGGCAGCTATTCGGTTTGAGTGAGTGACCTGGGCCCCCAGGGAAAGAGCCCAGAGGGCGGGGGTGGGTATGTCTGAGACACACTGGAGGTGGTGGTGGGGGGAGCTCACCTGGCGTGGCAGGGTCATCCCCAAGATTACACCACAGTGCTCAGGTATAGACGTGGGAGATGTCCCTGGGGTCTGTGCTGGGGCTCATTCCCTGGGAACCCATGTAGAGGTCACCGTCAAGGTATATTTGGGGCTTTGGGACCCACACTGGGGGATTTCTGTGACAGCCTGTAGAGCTTGTATTCTGGGACTAACTCTAGGAGTCAAGTTTTACTCAAGGAGGCTTGGGGAGACGTCTGTAGTAGGATCCATGTCATACTTTGGGAGTGATTTGGGGGTACCCCTGAAGGTTCCTGGAGCCCACACTTTTAAGTAACTATGGAAATCTCGGGCTCACAACTCTGGACTACTTATGGGGAACTCTAGAGCTCATACTTGGGGTGTTTATGGGGCACAAGTCATGGGAAGACCTCTGCAGTCTCAGGCTTTTATCCAGAGGAGTGACCGTGGAGTTCCTTACAGGGTACCTTTTATGGGAAGCCCTATGAGGCTGTTCGGGGGTGGGGGGATGGAGGGCCATGTACCGTGGCTATATATATGGGCACAAGCTCTATGGGTCTTGCTCTAAGCCATCTGTAAAAATCTTGGGCTCACACTTGGGGTGTCACGGGCATTGACAAAGGTTCTTGGATTCCCCACCCTGAAGAATTCCAAAGGTTCTTGGATTCCTCACTCCCTCTTTGAGGAAGGGTCTGTGGAGTTTGTGTTCTGGAGGTGTCTGAGGCTCACACTCTGGGGGTAACTGGCTTAATTTAGGGTCTTAGGGGGTCCTTTCTGGGTAATCCTAGGGTGCACACTCTGAGGGGTCTTTGAGGGTCTCACGGGCTTTGTCTGTGGGGATCTCAGGCAGTCATCCCCTGAACACTTGGTGGCCTTAGGGGTTTGGAGCGCCCTCCATGGGTCTTTATAGGGCACAAGTTCTCAGGGCACCTCTGGGCTCACACTCTCAGGTTGGATCCACTCACACTGAGGGTGTTGGAGGTGTCTGTGGACACTCTGGCATCTGCCCCTGGGGTTCACGCTCTGGGGGCACTGGGGCACGGGTGCTTGCGAGCTGAGCCGGGGTGTCCACATGAAGGAAGGCGCGTCGGGGGTCGAGGTGGTGCTGGCAGTGGGCAGGCAGCCGCGGGGCCGCCCGAGGGGGACAGCGCTGGAGCACTTGGTGCCCGCAGGTGCGTGTTCCTGCCCGACAACGGCGCTTTCTTCGTGAACTACGTCATTGCCTCAGCCTTTATCGGCAACGCCATGGACCTGCTGCGCATCCCAGGCCTGCTCATGTACATGATCCGGCTCTGCCTGGCGCGCTCTGCCGCGGAGAGGCGCAACGTGAAGCGGGTATGGCCGCCTGGGGCCGCAGCGGCTCGCGCAGCGCCCCCTGGTGGGACCAGCCTGAAACAGCGGCAGCCGTGCTAGGGTGTGGGGGCACAGGGGTGCTGGAACTCGGGGGATCCAGTTCCGTGGCCCTGGGCTATCCCCTTCCTACCTGGAGCCTCAGTTTTCCCATATGTGCGGCGATGGATCAACATAGATAACCCTGCCAGTCCTGACAGTCTAGTGTTCCGATGGGAGTTGGGGGAGGTCCGGGTCCCTAGACCTAGGGTCTCTGTGCCCTAACCCCACACGAGGGCTCTGGGCGTCCCACCCCCAGGCCTACCCACCTGCCAGCCCCTGATCTCTCAAAGGTCCTCCCCAACCCATGACCCATCACTGTACCCACCTTGACCTCCATCTCAGCCACAGCCCCTCTTTCTATCTGCTTTGCCCTGCCCCACCCTGGATATTGGGTTTCTTTTCCCCATGGCTTCGTTCCTGGCCCCCTGCCCCCTCCCACCTGCCCTGCGCCCTTCTAGCCTGTCCCTCCCCTCCCTGAGCCACCCTCCTGCCCATCTCCCCCCCAGCATCAGGCCTACGAGTTCCAGTTTGGCGCAGCCTACGCCTGGATGATGTGCGTCTTCACGGTGGTCATGACCTACAGTATCACCTGCCCCATCATCGTGCCCTTCGGTAGGCACCGCCGCGCCGGGACCTGGGCCCTGCTCGGGGGGACCCAGGACCTCACCCGCTTCACTCTAGTAAGGCAGGCCGCCCTGAGTGGACAGGGCCCCGGCTGGGAGACCGGCCCCTCGGGCCTCCCGCCCGGTCCCTGCCTCAGTCTGGGGCCCGGCCTTGGGGGGAGGAGGGGGAAAGCCATCTCAGCTCAGGCCGGCCCCGGCTGGTGTGCTGGGCCCCTGGGCAAAGTCACCCCAACATGGCCATACTCATCCGCACCAGGTGCCTTCACTCAGCTGATGCACTTGGACACACATCACATACCCACAGCCGTGTTTGTGTGTACATGCACGCGCGTGCGTGCGCACACGCACACACGCACACACACACACACCTACACAGGGTCCGCCGGTACACTTGGAGACAGTCCCATAAGCTCAAGAAAGACCTTTGGATTCCAGGGTGGGGTTGGGCTCTTGCCACTCACAGAGATGGTAACCCCACTGTAGCTGAGCTCTGCGCCTTGGACACGTCCCGCTTCCTTCTGAAATTTAGCAGAGTTTCTTCACAGCTGTCACCCTGCCCGTTCCGTCTGTTTTTCCCCTTGTTACATCCTAACCCCTTAACCACCATCCCCGGTGATCAAAGGCTCCAAACTCCCAAACTAACCTCCTTGTCCTTTCAAAAGCTCCCATTCCCTCAGCCCCCAGGAAAACAGAACTTACCACCTCATTTATACTCATCTATGTAGGGACAGGGTAGAAAAAAACACTAAGTTTCAAGAAGAAGCTCACTGACCCCAACGAACGGACTTCTAACAGTAGGCCTTTCAGTGAGGGGCTGCGGGATGAGGTGGGGAAGCTGAGGGAGCTGACACTGTGATCCTGTGATGGGCCTGGGGCTCTGTCCTGTACCGGGGGGCTCAGGCAGGAGGAGGGGGGCCAGCCCTTCAGCCATCTTGGAAGGACTAGGCCAAGCTGTGACGGACACACGGAGGTCCGGTGTCACTGGTTCCGAGGTCAGGGCCCGTGTGGCTTCCCCCAGGGCTCATGTACATGCTCCTGAAGCACCTGGTAGACAGGTACAATCTCTACTACGCCTACCTGCCGGCCAAGCTGGACAAGAAGATCCACTCAGGGGCCGTGAACCAGGTGGTGGCCGCGCCCATCCTCTGTCTCTTCTGGCTGCTCTTCTTCTCCACCATGCGCACGGGTGAGGGCCGCCCCCACGCACCTCAGGGAGTGGCAAGGTCGGCGGGGGGAGGGCCTCCATCCGGAGTCGAGGCAGAGCAGGCCGTGGGAGGGGCCTTGATGGCCAAGGGCCACAGGCAAGGAGCCTGGGAGAAGCCAGGTCAGGCGACAGCACAGAGGAGTGCAGGACTGCGTTCAGAAGGTAGCCAGAGTCGGGTGGTGGGCCCCTGGGAGGGGGTGCCCAGAGGAGAGGTAGCAGCCCCATCCTTTGCCCCCCCGCCCCACCAGGGTTCCTAGCCCCCACGTCCATGTTCACATTCGTGGTCCTGGTCATCACCATCGTCATCTGTCTCTGCCACGTCTGCTTCGGACACTTCAAATACCTCAGTGCCCACAACTACAAGGTGTGGGGCAAGGGGGGCAGGGGATGGCTGAGGGCGAAGCTCAGGGGGGTGCAGGGGAGCAGGGGGACGGATGGGAGCTGAGGGCACGGGCAGCAAGGGTGTCAAGAAGGCGTGGGGTCATGATGGTGGCTGAGGGCAAAGACATCTCCCCACTCCCTGACTCATTCTGGACCCCTCAAGATTGAGCACACGGAGACAGATGCCGTGGACCCCAGAAGCAATGGACGGCCCCCCACTGCTGCCGCTGTCCCCAAATCTGCGGTGAGTACCCTGATTCATGGCCAGGGGTGGAGAGGAGCCTCTGATTGAGGCTCTGTCCAAAGCCAGGGGTCCCATTAGTCCTCCGGAAAGTGAAGCCCGTTCCAGCTCCCAGGGGCAGGGAGAGATCTGGCTTCACTGAGGGGACTGCCCACCTCTCCCTGGGGGGAGGATCACTGTCCCGCTCCCTGGAGACCCTGAGATTCCCCAGTCAGTCCCTCCCATGAGGAACAGCTGTCCACCCTCACCCTCTACTGCTTTCCCCTTCAGAAATACATCGCTCAGGTGCTGCAGGACTCAGAGGTGGACGGGGACGGGGATGGGGGTCCTGGGAGCTCAGGGGATGAGCCCCCGTTGTCCTCGTCCCAAGATGAGGAGCTGCTGATGCCACCTGATGGCCTCACGGACACAGACTTCCAGTCTTATGAGGACAGCCTCATAGAGAATGAGATTCACCAGTAAGGGGAGGGAGGGGCCCTGGAGGCCACGCCCTGCCCCCACCCCACCCGCACCCCCATGGACACTAAAAAAAAAAAGAAACGCTAATAATTTATTAGGTCTAAAGCCCCTTCCTCCCCCATCCCCTGCTTTCATTAAGGTATTTAAACCTGGGGATCACACCACTCTCCCCCACCATGGAGGGAGGGAGGGAAACCCCAACCTCAGTGAGGAGAGCCCCGAGCCGGACCCGGGGCAAAGAGGGGTGCGGACAGGGTTCCCCCAGATCAGTGCCCCCCACGCTAGTAGTGTGGTCAGGAAAGGGTTATTGAGAGCCAAGAGGGGTACCTGGTGCCGAGGCTGGAGACCTGGAGGGGGGTGACGCAGGCAGATCAGGGGCTGCCCGCCCCATTCTTTCCTCCCCCCAAGGCCCCCTGGGACCTGGCACTCCAGGAAGTGGCACCTCCAGCCCCTGTGGGTTGCATGAGGGGGAGGGGCTGCAGAGTGGGAGGAAGCGACAGGCCCCCAGCCAGGGAGGTGACCTAGGGGTGGGGGGCGGGCATGGCTGACACTGGAACAATGGGTTTTTGCACTGTTTTTTTTTTTTTTTTCCTTTAAAATAAAAACGAAAAGAAAAGCTCCGAGGCAGGTGTCTGATTTGCGCTGCTGCGCTGGGCACGTGGGCTGGGGACTGAGGAGCACCCTGCTCTGGATGTGGAGGGCCTGCTCGGGGCCTGGGCAAGAGACTGCTGGTGTGGGACCTCGGTTTCCCCAGGGAGGGGAGAGAATGGGCCCGGGAGACTTGAGGGGATTCGCAGGCAGGAGGGGCCTGCTGTGGTCACACTGGCACCCCCCTTGGCTCCGTCTCTACCCCCTGCCCTGAGGGAATGGTGGGACCGCTCAGTCTGAGGGACAAGGGGGACACACACCCACTTTCTGAATCCCCAAGAGCCACACAAATGGGTTAGAGATTCAGGGAGAAAGGCCGAGCAAAACCACAGGTCCTCCACGGGCCCAGGAAGAAGGCTTCCTGGAGGAGGGAAATCCCAGGAGAGCTCCTTCTAGAACACTCTGCAGGCGGTTCTGGAGGGGAGAGGCAAGAACACAGGGCCGCAGTAGCCCACCAAATAATATCACTATTTGTTGTCATTGTTGCTACAACTTCTTGAGCAATTGTTATGCGCCTGGAATTGTGCCAAGTGACTGTATTATGTGTGGGTGGTTTTTTTTTTTAAGATTCTATTTACTTAGTAAAAGAGAGCACAAGAAGCAGGGGAGGGTCAGAGGGAGAAGCAGACTCCCCGCTGAGCAGGGAGCCCTATGCAGGACTCGATCCCGGGACTCCAGGATCATGACCTGAGCCGAAGGCAGTCGCCTAACCAACTGAGGCACCCAGGCATCCCTGTATTATGTGTTTTAAGGCATTTACTCCTTAGTGAGCTTGCTCTAGGGTCAGGCGTGGGTCTACTGTGAGGATTACATGAGATAAGATATGCCAAGTGCCCACTTGGCCCAGCACCTGGCCCGTGGAAAACACCCAATAAACGTCAACTATAATTAACGCTGTGATCGTTAATAGTACCTACAAAGTGGGTGTGGTTTCCCTCTTCTTATGGAGGCTCAGGGAGGCTATGGGGTTTGTCCAAGGTTACTGGCCTGGAAGGAGTCTTGGAAAAGTCCTTCTGAGTACCTCAGTGAGCCAGGCCCCCCACCCATCTGTCCCTTACCCCTCAGGAGTGCCTGAGGCCCCGAAAAGCCTCCTGCCAAACAAGTCTCCTGCCAGCCAAATCTTACCCATCCCCAGACCCAACCGTATTCCACCTTCTGTAAGAGATTTCCTGTGGCCACTCTAGCCCACGCTCCAGAGGCCCTCCCAGCCACGTGACCACGTGCACTGTATCCTGCATGTACAATGGGTCTCCTGAGAGCCAGGAACTCCAGTCTTGGTTCTGTCACTAATGCGCTGTGCAACCCGGGGAAGGCCACCTCTCCTCTCTGCACATACCTGCTCATCAATAAAACCAAGGAGTGAGACCAGATGGCCCCAAGCATCCTGCCCACCCATTACCCACCACCCATCAGCATGAACCAGAGAAGAAGGTGAGTCAAGGAACTCCCAGAGGAGAAAGGAGGAGAGACCCCGTGGGGGGGGGGGGGCAGGCATGCAGGAGGGGGAAGAGAAAAAACAGGTATCGCGAAGGCTTGCAGACAGGCAACCAGAAATGACCAGGAGCAGGGACAGGGAACACGGCACAAAGCCTGTCGAAGATCGCCCAGGCACTGGCAAGAGGCAGGAGGCACACGGTGTGTGGGGTTTGCCCACCCCCCAGGCTGCGGAGAGATGCCCCCTGCCCGACACACGTGGCTTGGAAGGCCCACGTTCCCTTGTGGCCAGCCGTGGGCAGCTTGGTCCAGGCGTCAGCCTTCATGTGTACGACAAATCCACAGTCTTTTTTTTCTTTAAGATTTTATTTATTCATTTGATTCAGAGAGAGAAAGAGAGAGAGCAGGGAGTGGGGCAGAGGGAGAGAGAGAAGCAGACTCCCCACTGAGCCAGGAGCCCTGATGAAGCGGGGCTCTTTCCCAGGAGCTGGAGGCAGATGCTTAGCCATCTGAGGCACCCAGGCGCCCCACGACAGACCCACAGTCTTGTGAGATGTGGCCCTCCAGGCGGAGTCCCCAAGGTTTCAGGGCTGGGGAGCAGAATGCCAGCCGGTGGGGGGGCAGAAACCAGCTGTGAATTTGGAGCAAGGAACACACACAGCAGGCCCCAGAGGCTGCAAACAGCAGCAGTCTGGCCCTTGATCCCTCCATGAAACCCATTCAAATTTTTGTTCAGGAGCGCCTGGGTGACTCAGTTGGTTAAATGTCTGCCTTTGGCTCAGGTCATGATCCCGGGGTCCTGGGATCCAGTCCCGCATCGGGCTCCTTGCTCGGCGGGGAATCTGTTTCTCCCTCTCCCTCTGCCTGCCACTCCCCCCGCTTGTGCTCTCTCTCTCTCTTTCTCTCTCTCTACATGTCAAATAAATAAAATCTTGGGGCACCTGGGTGGCTCAGTCGTTAAGTGTCTGCCTTCAGCTCAGGTCATGATCCCGGGGTCCTGAGATCGAGCCCCACATCGGGCTCCCTGCTCCGCGGGAAGCTGCTTCTCCCTCTCCCACTCCCCCTGCTTGTGTTCCCTCTCTCGCTGTGTCTCTCTCTGTCAAATAAAGAAGATCTTTAAAAAAATTAAAAAATTAAAAAATTAAATCTTAAAAAAAAAAAAACTTTTGACTGTTCAGCCAAGAAAGTTGACATCCAAAGAGGAGGAATGGCAAGACCCCACAATTATTAAGGCCAAAATGGCCAGCGTGGTACCAAACGCCTTCCCCAGGTTCATTGGATTAAACCAGAAACACTCCAACACCTGCTCTGAGGCTGGAAATAGGGGGTGGGCAGTGAAGTGATCCTTCGTCAGGTCAGATGGAAAAGTCCAGAAGGCCAAGTAAGGCTGGGGAACTGGATTAAGGGGCAGCAAACAGACGGGGAGGGGTGGGGGCCCAGGTAAGGGCTAGCTGGCACAGGCAGAACACGGGTCAGGAAGGGGGAGTTAGAGTACACGCCTTTGACCCACATTTCCTGAACCAGGATTGAGCGTCCAGCTCCACGCTGAGTGCTGGAAAGGATCTCGAGGTGTAACGGTGGAATCGTGGAAGGAGGAGGGAGGCTACAGGGAACCCCAAAGTCCATTTTTCTTCCTCCCTTTATAGCTGGGGCCAACAAGAATAACGGACAAGAGCTGAGGATTTAGGTTCAAATCCCAGCTCCGACACTTACCAGCGGGGAGACGCTGGGCAAGTTGCGTCGTACCTCCTGAACAGGAAAACTGTTGTCCTCACACACACATAGTCGGACCCCAAATGAGGGAAAGGGGACTTTTCCCACACCAACCAGTTCTCCAGCTCTCCAGGCACCAGCTGGGCGTGCTACGATTCCGGTCAGTTCTGACACTGGCTACCTGGAGTCAGCATCAGATCCCACAAGGGCTCTGTCCCACAAGACTGCCCCTGCTGCAGACACCCATCAGGAGTACCAGGCTGTTACCTGTGCTTCTGACTGACTGGCTCTAAATCAGGGCTTTCACAAACCCCCTGTCAGGTTTTGCAATGTGCTACGACAGCTCACAGAACTCAGGGAAACACTTACATCTATCACTTTCTTGGAAAAGGATATGTTAAAGGATACTGATGAATAGCCAGATGAGGAAGGACATAGGGTGAGATCAGAGGGTCCCAAGCATCGGTGCTTCCATTCCTGTGGAGTTGGGGTGCACCACCCTCCCAGCACGTAAGTGTGTTCACCAACTCAGAAGCTCTCAACCCAGACCCCATATTTAAGGATGTTTATAGAGGCTTCCTCATAGAGGCATGATTGCTTATTAACTCAATCTCCAGCCCCTCTCCCCTCCCTGGAGAATGAGGAGTGGGGCTAAAAGTTCTAGGCTTTTAATCATGGCTTGGTCTTCCTGGCCACCAGCCCCCATCCTGAGGCTATCCCAAAGTCCTCCAGGAATGACCTCGTTAGAACAAAAGACGCGGTTATTGGGAGCCTGGGTGGCTCAGTCCGTTCAGCGTCTGCCTTCGGCTCAGGTCATGATCTCAGGGTCCTGGGATCGAGCCCCACATCAGGCTCCCTGCTCATCAGAGAGCTTGCTTCCCTCTCCCACTCCCCCTGCTTGTGTTCCCTCTCTCGCTGTGTCTCTCTCTGTCAAATAAATAAATAAAATCTTTAAGAAAAAAAAAAGACGCGGTTATCACTCACAAAATTCCAAGGGTTTAGGAGCTCTGTTTCAGGAACCAGGAGCAGAGACCAAAAATTTATTTCATACTATATCACCTCTGGCCCTCACCTTTCTCCTCTATAACATGAGGATAACGATACCATATCCTTGAGCTGTTTTAAGGATTAAACAAGCGGGAAGTTCTTAGCCCAGTGCTTGGCACATAATAAGAACTTAATGAACTGTAATTAATGTTCTTATAGATGAGGAAGTTGAGACCCAGAGAGGGGGGTGGGGAGAACTAGTCCAAAGTCAGCTTGGGACAAGACTCTGTGATTCCATTCAGTGACCTGAGCATCTGCTCTGTGCCTAACGCTCCGCCAGGCTGGGCAGAAGGTCACCGGGATGACCTCGACAGTCCCTGTCTTCAACGGCCATACAATATACTATAGGGGCGGGTTTCTCAGGTCAAAGAGTTCATGCTTTCCCCTGGATAGACATGACAGCCAAGCCAGTGGCCTAACCATGACAAGGAGAGTGTTAGCGGTTGAACTGTGTCTCCCCACCCCCCGCCCCCGTCAAAGATATGTTGAAATCCTAAACTCCGGTATCTCAGCACATGACCTTATTTGGAAATGCGGTCATGGCCGAAGTACAAATTTAAGATGAAGTCATGCTAGAATAGGGTGGGTCCCTAATCCTATACAACTGGTGTCCGTGTGCGGAGAGACACAGGGAAGGCCATGTGAAGACACCATGCCATGTCAGTGGGAAGGTGCCTTCTGAAAATGAAGAGGCTTTCAGGATAAAAGGGTCAAGTTGGGGTGTCAGGGATAATCCCTTCCTAGGAGCGTCGGG